GCGGCAACAGATGGCGCGTTAAAGGCAAAGAATGATGCTTTTTAACGAAAGTAGTTTCAGAAATAATACTAGATGGCGAATGCTGCTGCTGTAATTTCTGATAGCAGTATATTCATAGGAAATTTAAATATTTCAAATGTGCGCGATTGGTTTATCAAAACGTAGTATTATGGAGTGCATTTGGTCCCCAATGCTGAGGTACAGACCGTGAATAGGCAGAATCTAATCAGATATAATCTAATCGAAACGAATAAGGAGAGCCAAGAGAGGTGGGTGTTAATGACTGCATGTGGGTCAAGGGACTTAACGTGGAGCTCAAGATAATACATTTTTGGTTGCCCATCCCATGACCGACCCTTGCGAAAGTTGCTTAATTTCCGTATCACGGATCGAAGGTTCTGACGACTGCACGATAAGAAGATTATGCTCTACAACTTTCACAATAGTAGGTTATCTTTATCTGATCTAATATTAACGTAATATAATAGGTATTAACGTAATATAATAAGAAGTAAATCTAATTTTGTTTATTTGATTGCAGGGAATAATCTTCGGAAATAGTGATCGACATGCTGGTCGCATAGGCTATAATTTACGCTGGCAAACAAATGAACATGACCTGACTCAAAGTAAACAGATCAAAAGCTATATTAATATTTTATTGTTTTCATCGGAATATATTTATATAATGTATATTTAGAATAAATTAGTCTGTTTATGTATAAAATCAATTATTTTTTGTTTAAGCATTGCAGTTTTCGATATAGGTTATATACATTTGTTTGTTCAAAATCAACTGGAATTGATTATTTTCTAATTGTAACTTAATTATGAAATATTTTATGTATTTAAACTATAACTTAGATTGATATACTGAGACAAGAGATAGGCCAACTCAGAGTACCAAGGACAATGTGAATGGTTAAGCATTCTTCATTAAGAATATAAAAACATTTATAAAAAAATAAAACCAACATGAAAGTTAAATTATAAGGTTTTCTGTACTTTATTAAATAGAAACCGCCGACTTCGATAGTTCTTTAAAATTTCACCGCTTTTATGATAATTATTATTCTCCACTTTTTTAAATTTGAAGTTGGTTTTGGAATAAGAAATGTTTTTATTTCATTATTTTTTATTGGTATATAATTTTTTGCTTATTACTTTCTTTTCTCTTTTGGCTTTCTTTTCTGTCTTGTCATTATATGATATTCTTTTCGCATTATTACTTTTTTCTTTCATTTTAGGCGTTAGCCTATGCTGTTTTTTCATCTCTTAGTTTATTTATTCTATCTTACGTTTTTATCTTATATCCTATGTATTTACATTTCTGTTGTGCACATTGTCTTATATTCTAGTTATGTTCCTATTCCACATCTTTTAAGTATATCTATATTTTCATAGTATTTGCCTTAAAATATGCATTTAGTACATTTTCTAATCACTTATCTATACCTTTATACATTCTTACCACATTTAAGTTGCTTTCTTATAGTTAATATCACAGTTAATCTGTTGTAGAGTCCTTATAACTAGCACATTCTCCACTATTAATTTAGCGTGCTTTATAAAATGTTTTTTTTCCTTCTTGTCCTCTAGTATTTTGTGCAGGTTCTCCTTACCGAGTGCCTGTGTTGTCTCTCCCCGTTTGGGAAGAAGACCATCGTCGTGGTCGCTGTATTCTCGCTTTTATGGCGGTTATCCCATTCTGCTTTTTATATGTCTTTTGTCAAAAAAGATGGGATAGCGGTCATAATGCGAACGACATTTCAACCCGAAAGCCGCTTCCTTTGCTAGTTAGTTTGCCCTTCATTTCCAATCACCCCGACGTGGGCCCTGATCCAAAATAAATAGACCTTGCAGTCTTTGTCCCTAAGTTGGATCACATTACCCTGTAAGCTTTTTAATTTGTATATTTCATTTAGACCCGATAACTATGAAAGTGCTGTTAGGAACTTAAATGAAGATCTGGTGCATGTTGCGTACTGGTCGTACAGAAATTTTTGTTGCTAAACCCTGACATAACAAAATTCATGCTGTTCGGAACTAGAAAGCAACTGCAAGATTTGCAGCAATTGAAAGTATAAAAGTATATATATCTTAAAAGTATAAAAATAGTTCATATAGCAAGCTATTTAGGCTTAAAAATTGTCAAAAATCTAAAATTGGAGGAACACATTGCAGATTAAGTTAAAAATTGGTTTTAGCGACATAAAATATATATAAAAAATAAGGTCATCTCTGTCAATAGAATTGCGTGTACAATTAAACGAATCACTGGTTTTTTCTAAGCTCAATTATGCTGATGCCGTTTATGGACCACGGTTACTGGGTAGGACTGAGCGACTCATATAACGTGTACAAAATGCTTGCGCTCGTTTTTGTTTTTCTGTGTCTGCCAGGTACCATGTCACCCCATATCTAAACGACCACTGGATGCTTAAAATGAAACCAGGAAGGAAGTTGCGTTTGGCATGTTTGCTTTTCGGTGTTATTAAGTTCAAAGAACCGTTATACTTGTACAATAAGCTCAAGTGGGTCGCTGATGGTAGGCAGACTGTGAGAAGACAATGTTCACAATAATTGTCTATACAATGACATAATTCAGCTGAGCTTATTTCAAAGATGTTTTCGCTATGGAGCTTCCAAAATATGGAACAATACCCCACCATCCCTAAGAGCTATAAAGTCGAGCGTTGGTTTTATAAAACAAATTAAAAAAATATCTTTTGGATGCACAAATAGCTATGGGTATATATAATGCAAATAGCTCGTATATATAGCGGCTTTTTTGTAATAGATTGATAATTAATTTCCAAAAATTATAGGGGGCAAAAATTATATAACCGTTTTGAAGAGTCAAAACGGTTTCTTGCGGTCTTGCGGTCAAAACGGTTCAAAACGGTCAGGAACTGCAGTTAGAAACCATTCGTCGTCCTCCGAATTCACCAGGCCTTGCTCCAATGGACTACCATTTTTTGTGATTGGGACATTTATCTATGTGACAGGAAGTTTTCTTTCCAGAAGACAGTACAAAATGCTTTCACACAGTTTGTGCAGTCTAGATCCTCAGAGTGCTATCGCAAAGGCATTAATGACCTTCCTATTAGACAGCAGTAATGTATAGATAATAAAGGTAACTACTCTGATTAAATAAATTTGTTAAAAATTAAAAAATACAATATTTTCAGTACAAATCGGCAATTTCATACTTTAACCACTATTATATTCAATGGGTGGGTGATAAAGATTTCCAAAACACTTTTGACAGTTGTGCTTAATAGAAATTAGAGTCCCATATGATGATATTCGTTCACTTTTACTTAATAGTGACTTGTTCATATCACTAGAAAGTAAATTACAATACAATGCTCATACTGATTTACGAAAAGCAATAATTACCACAAAAATTTTATTTATTTATTTCAAGAAAAAAATCCACAGCAAGTTCTTATCTTAATAATAGTAGAACAATTTTAACATATCTTAATGCCAATTACAGATTTTCATTATTTAAATACATAAAAAAAAATTAAACAAGCTCGACCAAATACAGCAAGACGCGAATTATGTGTGTGTTTTTGTGTGGGTGTGTGTATGTGTGTGTGTGTGTGTGTGTGTGTGTGTGTGTGTGTGTGTGTGTGTGTGTGTGTGTGTGTAAGTGGGTGTGTGTGCGTGTGTGTGTGTCATATTTTTTTCTAGAACCAATCCACCAATACCCTTGTAATATGATTTTTAAAAGATGCTTTACTATTACAGGCAAATATATCAACTGTCGCAAAACGCATATTGTAAGTTCTCTGTAATCGAAATATAATTGAGTTTTGTGCATAGTTTGTGCGACATAGAGGAATTGCTAAAAACAATGAAGCAGTATGCCTAGTACGGGTTGTGGGTGTGTTGAGCGTTAAAAATGATGATGTAAGCTCTGTACAGTCAATAGCTCCACTGCAAATGTCATACAGAAATGTCATGTCCAGCAAAATGCGCCTATTTTCCAGACTGATTATTTTATTATAACGGCATCCCTCCTCATAATTCACAAAATTACTCTTTGTGCGATAATTAAGATACTTAATAAACTTTGCCTGAATCGACTCTAAATCTTGTTTATACGTAACATATTGAGGATTCCATATGTTACAACAGTACTCGAGAATGCTACGACAATATGCATAGTATAGAACCTTAACACAAAATATATCAGTAAACGGTTTGCTCACCCTTAAAATGAACCCTAGATTTTTATAAGCTTTGTTAACTATTGTTTAAAGAAAAAGTTAATTTGTCATCAAAGAGTATACCAAGATCCCTTACCACATTCGTTCGTATTATAGATGTGTTATTCAAATGGTAGTTATAAGCAATGGGAACTTTTTTCCGCGTGAAAGAAATTAACAAGCACTTAGCCACATTAACGTTTATTTTATTTTGTCGATAATAAACACAAAGTCTACTCAAGTCCTCTTGAAGGCTCAAGCAGTCAGAGAGAGTACGAATTGATTTATAAATTTTTGTGTCATCCGCATACATTAAATAATTTTCACATCGAAAGCACTGACCAATGTCATAGAGAAAATATTAAGAAAAGCACAAAACGAATTAAAAAAAATACAATATTTAATAATGATATAGGGTGTGCTTTGAACGAAATATGTAAACATTTTCCACTTGAATTTCAGCCCTTATGATTTAAGGATAGAGTTTATATGAATCACGTAGTATTTATTGTATTATATTATATCAACTTAAAGAAAGCGGTGCCCTAGTAGTGTTTTTATCACTTTTCCTTTTAAATAATATATTGACGTACAAAATATTTAAATATATAAATTAAATTTGTGTATTGATTAATCTTTTTCTGTTGATGGTTGGTATATTTTTTCCATGATATCTCGTAGTAGTAGAAATGAGGAGATTCCATATTTTATGGAACCTGCCGTACCGTTATGTATTACACATTAAAGACTTTTCACTAGTACATACTCGAATATCAATGGAATGAAACAACATCTTTTTTTGCAAATGCACAGCATAAATATATTTCTTCTATTATAAGTAATAATGATTAATATAAACATCTAATACATACACTAATAAGATATATACTTAAATACATTCGTTCCTTCTCGATGCTTTGAAGTAACGGTGGGGCGAAGTGCTAATGTAAGCTTCCATATTTACGACTAATTAGTTCTCTCGATCGACCGTTTGTTGTGGAGCATCGGAAGTATTTGAAACAGTCTTCTCACTCGAGGTGATCCACGATGACTTCGGGAGTATGTTTATGATGAATTAGCACATCCTCGAACCATATGTTATGGAGCTTCTGCACTTGCCAATTGCGGAGCGGCCTGTCGACAGGGAAACCGAGAGGATCGCTGGTCATCCGACGAGCACCAGAGCCAACGCCGAGGGAGAGGCTTGGATTGAAACCGGTGCCGTACACGACGTTGGGTGCGTTGTACTGGGATATGTGGACCATCACTACGTAAGGCATGCCGCCGACGCGACCTGAAAATAAAACGATTCATATAATTCAAAAGTTAAACCTACTATGCTTCGAAGGGGTAAGTTTTAGCATATCCACCTCACATAAGTTTTTTCAACCTTAAGACATTATTACATTATTCAAGACGTTAGAAGAGACATAATTCAAATATTTTAAAGAAAGACCTGATAGAACATGTGGTCACAAAGTTGAAAATATATAAAAATAATAACATTTCTTTTCTTCTATTAGATAGATAAAACAAAATAGTTTGTCACTAATAAGCTGGTCCTTTTTTATTTTAACTGGTCCTTTGATAATAATTTAGTAATTATTTACTTTATTTTCATCAGCTCGTCTCATACTCATTGTAATTCAATTATCATAATAAAGGCAACTAAAACTAAATCAAATACAAACAATTACCTTTAGGAAGAAGAAGTCGCTGAGGGAAGTGATCGATTGGATCTATCTTGTATAAGAACTGGTCGTGACTACTCAAACTGTTTACAATTTTGTCATACATTTTGTGAAAGGAAGTCTGGTCGTTTGTGGCAAACTGGTTCTCATTTGATGAGTGAGTGATTACATTCTCTCCTTGTTTTACTGAAAATTTTACAAATCGTTAATGCTAAGTTGGAATTTCATAATTATTAACAAAAAACTAAGTTGCGCAAACTGTATTTTACATTTGAAATGAAAAGGCTAATTGTTAGAATATCAATGAATAAAGTAGTTTTGAAATTATTTAAGAAAATAGGCGATGATTGAAATTTCCCCCTCCCCTTAATCTCCGAAACTACTGAACCTTAATTTTTGAAAAACTCAATAAAGAAAATAGCACTTTACTTATAGATTACAGAAATAAACTTCGAGAAGAATATCATTGTATAATTATGCACATAAATTAAACAATAAATAAATTTTCTTAAGTTTGTACGAGATCTATTAATACCGAGAACTCATCATTCAGTACCTATAATAAAAAGGTTGCTTAATTTGAATATATTTTTTATAAAAGTATTTTACTTTCATAAATGCTTATTACTTTCTTAAAAGTATAAAGTCGAAGTGATAATATCTCTTTTCTATAGTCATGCTGTTTTAAAGGAGAATAACAAAAGGAGAATAAATTATCTTGTACATTAACATTTTCTTATGAATATAATAGCTATATTACAAGTTTAATCAGTTATTCATAAAGGAATTTCCAGATAGCCACAAAATTATTCCACGTAAACATGAAATTTAAGCATTAAAATGTATAAGATAACAGAAATTAAACAAGAAATCACTCACATGTGTACAGGAATTGATCGAACAGGAAGAAGTTTTGGCTGTTGATTTCCAGAGGGATCTCGTTACCTAGACTGTCATATTTGGGAGCAAGGAATAAACGTACAACAACGTTTTTAGGCGCATCGCTGTTGACATGGACGCGAACACTGAAGACTTTGTGGTTAAGACGATTGTGCTCCACTAACACAACTTGATCCTCATGTAAGTGTTGTCCTGTAACCCCGAGATAAATATCAGTAATAAAAACGGAACGGGATGGTGTAATTGTCTAAGATGAGTAGTGTGAAGCTACTTTCGTAAGGGCCGGTAATATAGATGACAAAATAATTATACTCTTGAGCTCCTGCGTATAGCAAGAGTCATGTTAAACCATTGATCCTGGCTATATCTGCAATCATAATACTCACCAGTTCGGCATTCGTGATGGGTGGCTCCTTCTCCCTATTTTATTACATCCTAAAAGAAGGCTGTGCCACAGCAGAGGGGACATTAATAGACGGGACATGATGAATAAAAATTTAACAGCAGAATAATTTCATCCTAATATCATGCAATACATACTCTTGGACACAGTTGTATATAGGTGGTTGGACACATTCATGTAAGTATGCTCGAAGTATGTGACTAGCTTGTCGACCTCTACTTTATTTATTACAACTCCAGGCAAGCCAAGTTCTTCTTGTGTGTATGGAGGAAGCTGTTCTTTCCATGATTCAACAATTTTCAGCACTCTCTTATATATCATATAGAAAGCTGAATCACGAAGGTTAGTTCCGTGTTGTTCCAGGCATGATGGAACCACAAGCGAAGTTCCCCTAAAATATTTTTGTGTAATAAATTGTATCTGTGTATACTATTGTTTTCTTAAATTTTATTATGTATTTGAGAAGTTGATTATTTCATTATATTTAAGTATTTAGTTATAAAAAATACATACTTCGGAGTCATAGTGCTGAAAACTTCAGAGTTACCAAGAAGAGTTTTCCAAATGCTGATAAAATCTTTATAGTATTGGCTGTTAGGCGAATCAACACCACTTTGAATAATGCGGCCAATTACATCAATAGCATCTGGTTGACTAATGTCAACATGTTGACCAGTTGGCTAAACATACAAATTAATAAGTTTATCAGTCATCCAAATAAAATATACACATGAGTAAGTATGAGATATATTTACTTACGGTCAAAATATATCCTTGGTCAATGGCTTCTTGAATGCGACTTTCGTATTCGAGAATATAAGTAATGTCATCAACGAAATCGGGCTGCTCTAGGTAATAATAGTTCGGTCTTGAGGCGAAAGGAATACCACTATAATATTGAAGACCACACGGATATCCTTCCTTAACTACGCTCGTACCCAATACAGGGATCTCTCCAAGACCGTTACTCAATCTCTCCATATAATAACGGGCTAGAATTTGTTTATGGATAAACAAGAACCATTCGCCTCGACGATCTTTCACCAAAGGCACGGTTGAGCCACCAAGCCAAGATGGATACAAAAGATGCATATTATTGTAGAAATTGTTAAGGGAATAGTCATGAGTAAAGTAGGCTACGAGCATGTTCTTAGTTGTGTCATAACCCCATAAAGTAGCATTTCTTCGGATGACGACAGCATTGTCCCTAACGTACGTATTCGGGTAATGCTCTATGAAGTTTTGGTGGTGGGTATTGATTCTCTGAGCGGTAGTCATAATTGCAATGTTATTGAAATACGAAGGGAAAATTTCATATAATGGGGGTACAATGAACCCTTGTGTATCTGGTCTGTGTAGGATAGCAACAGATACGACGTAAATAAACATATACTCGTTGACATGGGCTCTCAGATATACAGCTGTTTTGTAGAAAGTATCTACAGTCTTAGCGGAGTACAATAAGTTGAAGAGGGCAATTGCCTGCCACCTTTGGTCCGGTTGCAGTACTGTGAAAGGCACACCCTGTGGGAGCACCCATTCATCGTTGATCAATATTTGACACACGTGGACTGCCGTGGCGTTCTATAAAATAAAGATGATTATGATACTAATATTATTTTATAAACATACCGATTTTAAAAACTCTTTCACCTATGGATAGCTACACTATACGGGTAATGCACGCGAGCGTAGTCGCGGGAAAAAACCTCAGTTTCTGTAAAATTACATTATCATCAACACTTTTACGTCCCCACTGCAGGAGCTCAGGCCTTCCTTATGGACGGTTAAGGAGGATGGGCCATGACCCTCCACGCTAGCCCAATGCGGATTGCGACTGGGATTGGACAGGGTCTTAACGACTGCAAATGCAACCGGGACCAATAACTTAACGTGCCTTCCGAAGCATGGAGTAGCTCGAGATAACAATTTTTGGGTCACCCATCCCGTGACCGACCCTTGCGAAAGTTGCTTAACGACAACGATCGCGGGCCGTGGCGCTTATCCACTACGCCACCGAGCTACTTAAAATTACATTAGTTGGTATTAATTATATTGACTATATATTATAATAAAAAAATACATACATTATATTTGTCAATGTTCTTTAACAGGTCCCATGTGTTTGCGATTTCCTGTTGCTCGGGAAGAATAAGTGGCTCGTGTGGATGTACATATAAGAATAAAAGATTTTTTTGCATCTCCAGATTTTCTTGGCTCACTAAAATACGAAAAAATAAACGTGGTTATTTTTGATAAAACTTGGTAAATTTTATCGATGTTTATTTACTACGATTGATATTTATTTTATATTAAACTAGTAATTTAGCACTTAACCAGTAAGCGGTAATAATATAATAATTTATAATAAACGGAGTCCATTAATCCATTAATTGAACTTTATAAAATCCTAGCTAGAGAATTAATAATAAATAAATTCGAGCTTTTATTTCTACTGATATTACCAAGGACAAAAACTCTCTCCATTCTTTGGATAATTGGTCTTCTTAATATATAGAATATTTCTATAGACCTATAAAACTATTCACACCTAATGCTTAATAAATCTGTCATTATAGAAAGTTAAGTTAAAGTGCGGATAAAATAACATTTAATCCTCCAGTTTATACTTAGATCATAGACACTTAGATTATTATATTTACGAGTCTAGGAGATGAATATATACACATATATTATTTTTAATTTTGTGTCACTGACCTAGGACTGCCAGTGAACAAAAAAGTTTTCAATTGGACAAGAAAATTTATATTCTGAAAACTACTACATCTCGGCGATTTGACAAATTACATACATCGAATTATGGGCTTTAAATTCTTTTTAGTTAAGTTGTTCACATTATTATAAAAACTAGTAGTAATTATTGAAACCAATTAATAACGTTGTCCACTTCTAGGAAAGAGAAGAAAATCGCATTATACGCTTTATAACATAATAATAGGTAATTTGTGGTTTTCTTTAATATTTCCAAACCGCCCAATAATCTGTTGAATGCGCACTAAACATTTCTATTGGCTGCCTTATCACTTTACACTTCATTCTTAATAAGGGTTCTTGTAAAATTAATAAAAAAGCAGATTACATATCATGTTTTTAGGTTGAAAACACTATTTAAGACAGTTATGCTTATCTATATTCCCTGTATTTTCACATGCTGGATCCTATCAAGGGAAGGGAAGAGAGAATCACGCGTTTACAATGCATGGCCCTCAGAGACGTCATTTGCAATTTATATTCGTAACTTGAATCATTTATCGATTTTTGGGACCAACGTGATATTAAAAGATGAGCCTTATCTTTCAGAGGTTTTTAATATTACAATTGTCCTTGCACATTCGCGTTGTATATCAGTTTTATCATTCTTTCGTCTGGCATTGTTTCCATACCTGCACAAGATATTTTTTCAACTTACCGGGGACGGGTGGATATTGTTCCTGTGGAGCTACCGGCTCTGGATGAGCAAGTACCCCGACCACCAACAACGCCAACAAACACATCGTCCACCGAGCCATGATTGCCAATGTTGGTCACTGAACTATCCCTTCCTTATATATGCTGCATTTGTCTAAATAAATAGCTTTATCAAGAAACAGGTCATGTGCACGTCAACTTATATGATAATACTATCTTTAAGGTGTTTAAAAAAAAGTTTATTGAGCGCATATTTATTTATTTTTTTATTATGATCATTTACAATGTGTTTTTTTTTTAACTGATGCTCGACGATTTTATAAATATATATAAGTTACCCGGGATAGATACCACTATATGATTTAAGCATTTCTATCAACACAACTAACTTTCTTTCAATAAAAATGCTATGTTTAAAGAGAACTTTATTATTTCTAAAATATAACTGCGACGTGAGAATTTTGATAAAAATTATACATAAAACTGCAACCAGTGGTAGCTCATGGATAGCATTTTATCGGAGTTATAAATAAAGGATACTTATTGTTTAAAACCGAGACGTATGCTTCGACAAAATGTTAAGTGCATAAATACAAAATCGTTTAATATCGGTCAGTTCGATTTCAAAGGCATGTGTAGAACCAAACATTTTCATTCAGGCGAAATACAAAGGGACAAATTGACGTAAAGCAAAACCAAATGAGCTAATTCTTTAATTTCAATATCTTTCGCAATCCCTTCCAAATATTGCGATTATGGTAGCGGCTTATGGATGATGTAACTTTTAAAATCACATTTGGAACAAATGATGATTGGAATGATCAAGAAATATAATGCAATGCTCCTAACCTAAACGATTGAAAGATGTCACAAAGCATTTCGTTTGATGTTTCTCAATAGCTTTCAAATATATTCTAATGATTGTCTGAGACAATTCCAATAAACGTTAAAATAATGATATCTTTCATTCAATATTAAAAAAACTTCGTCATCTCAATCGCTGTTAGATGACAAATACTTGAAGCGTGAAGTTCGTGAATATTTAAAAATCAATTATATTTAAAGGTGGTGTACTGACTTCTCTTTGATTGAGTTCAGTTATAAACAAAGTCTATTTATAAATTACCTGATCACCTTATTGTGCTACAATTAAAAAACATATTTTCGACAAATAATGATATTAATGACAAATTTATAAATATTTACAAATCATCGTTATCCTATTAATCCTATTCAGCTTATGAACTTACATTTTCTGGTTATAAATAACCTATTTAACATTAGTAGATACTGTATACATATTGCATTCCTATATTCAACATAAACTGAATGTAGACTTACTATCAGTATTCAGGAAAATGAATCTTACACTTTGTCAGTGATCAAAGATAAAGTCGTCGTAATTATTTTGCGTATTGTATTATGAAAGCAATTTAGATTTTACCAATGAACTAGCTATAAGCCGCGGCTTCATCTAGTTGGACCGAGGATACTATTTGCAGACTGGCCTGCTATACTGGAGTCATAAGCTAATCTTAATGAGAAAGTATTTAAGAAAAAAAAGAAAGTACTAAAGAAGCACCTCCACTAGATGGCGACTCTAGCAAAAGTTGATTTTTGCAGGAAACAACTGGCCCAAAGATGGTCATTTCCGTTCCTTTTAACTAACATATAAAAAAACTGAAATTTGCGTAGTTCGAAACTTAGATATCAATACAAATACTAAAAAGGTACAAATAGAATATGAGTTGTTTATTGAGTTTTGAAAACTAATTTACTTTTATACATGAAAGAAAACTGGAAGGGTTGTCATGGAGAAATCAAGAAAGTACTGTAGTGACATCTAGTTTGATTTCAGGAACGAATGATTTTTTTTTAATAACTTCCTCATTAAAAATCTGCCAGTGAACATCTACCTTTATATAAGCTATTGATGATCATTATCAACGCCCCCCTACCGGGGCATAGGTTTAACCAATCATGGAAAATCTACTGGTGTTTCTGTAGATAACGCGCATGTCTTCATAGAATAGACCAGTTACTCTTCTTTCTATTTTACTGCGCAGTAATACGCCTTGTAGGACACAAATAGTATAATTACGCCGTCATTTTGCTTGGGTTTGGGTAATTGACTATTGTGATAATTCTCTACTTCCAAATAAAGGCTTTCATTTTAAGGACTTAAAACAGTCTGATGCTTTGCCTGTGTAAGATTCTAAGACTAATCCTCATAGCAACTTGATGGTCAGCTGGTCCTTGCTTGCTCAATTCAGCATTTCCAGAATTTTAGGGATTACATTTTATCAACAGATATTCTGCCATCTCTTCAATTTGTATTAACTCTGATACTTTGAATTTTAGTTGCTATTTTAGATGAAACTTTTTTATACCATTGGTAGCTCATTTCAAGTACTTTATGATTTTTAGTCATTCGTAATTATTGGCAGTTTAGTACATATTTCTGCTCGACTGCCCCCTTTTTTCCATTCCATAAAAATATAAAAATAAAAAATATAATTTAACGCCCCTCGGTTAAGTATTAAAGTATCTCGTTATGTCACCCATATATTATTTTGATGTCTGATGAATAATTCTCCATTAAAATATATTATTAAAAAAACCGGGCAAGCACAAGTCTGACTCATGCACGAAGGATCCCGTATCATTAATAAACACAAAAAACACGTTTGTTATTTTCAAAGTTGTTTAATTGATTTTATTGATTCCCGTCCGAATGGTTTCTTTTTAGTAAGGGGATCAATAAACTACCTATGAGATGGGAAAAGTGCATATATAACAATGGTTTATACTTTGATTTAATAAATATATTATAATTAAAAAATATTCGACTACTTGTTCGTCCCATACTAAACACCAATTTCATATGTAATGACCTAATAAATTACAAAAGGTTAACTAAATCTAAAAACGGCCTTCTCACACCTCAAATATTTTTAATAGGCCCATCTACCGATGCAACACGCTATGGGAAGATAAAAAAAATCATGCCTCACTTTACATGCAGGGGAGGTAACCGAAAAAAATATTTTCAACATTTTATTTTACCACTTTCTCGGTTAAGCTAAACCGCGGATTGATAGACAGACAAACGGTAATGACGAAACTATTAGGTTCCTAGTTGACTACGGTACCCCAAAAACCGCTGAATTGAAAAGTGCGACTTTGTTTGATTAAAATCAGAAAAATAATCAAGACATCAAATATAAAATCAAATTAAATTATATTCCCCATTAAATTATGTTATTGTAAAAACCGCAAACTAGAAAACCATAGCTACTTTGTTTGATAAACTTCGGAAACAAAACATAGTAAAAATCAAAAAGCCGTTTTTAAAGAACAAAAACGCTATCTTGTGATTAGTAGTGACAGCTAAATGTAACATTTTTCATGTACTTAACTAACTAACTACCTAACTTAATATATGTATTTAATATTGGAGAAACGATTGTACCGATTTGAATTATTCAAAACATTATTTAATCCTGCTTAAACAGTTTGAATTATTTAATAATATAGATGTGGAAAAGGATGACCTGGAATGTGATTACAATGACAAATCTTTTTGTGCTTTTTTCGGAATAAGATATAGAATAGACATATACTACCGAAGACTTTCTTTTAGAACTTTGAAAAGGAATCAATTTTATAATACACGATTTTGGTGTAGCTTTCACCGTTTACGCAGCGCACGCAAGGAAAGCTCTCAAAAAGTAAAATATTCTCCCGTTTTCGTATCATTTTGCGTATTAGTCATAGCGTGATATTATATAGCGTTCAACACAAAAAAATGTTCAATTTTAACTAGTTATTTCTGAGATCAGCGAGTTCAAGCAAACAAACTCATCAGCGTTATTATTAGTATATAGATATGTTTATGTTCCTTAGAACGATATTATTTTATTTTAATTCAATTTTCGTAATAACTTTGTATTCGAATTTTTTTATTCAATCATTTTTATTCTTAATATAATTCAGAAAGTACAACAACTAAAACCATTTGTTAAATTTGCTGATAATAAAAGAAGAATATAATAAAAACAGAAGTATTATCACTTTTTATAAAACAGCTAACTTTTCACTTGTCCACAATTATTAAAAGGCCTACATTTTATTATTGTTACCCTATTAATCTGTCATTATCTTTTTTTATATTAAACAATGGCCATTCAGAAACTTTTTTAAAACAAAAGTTGACTTTATTATAAAATAAAGCAACATTTTTTTCAATAGAAGATGTATTAAAGTGCTAATTTGGTAGCATCCATCTTGGTGATGTTATGACTCAGAAATTTTACTAAGTACTGGCTGTGCCTGCGTTTTCGTCTGCATGGGAAAGTATATTAGGAGAATTCTGTCCTCCCTATGGATGGAATCGAATCGAATTAGATCAATGGGCTTAATCCGAATTGGTGGGTATTAACGACTGCTGCAGTTTAACTTGCATTCCGAAGCACAGAGGAGCCCAAGATAATAACAAAGTTTTTCCATCCAATGCTAGGTCACCTGGAAGAAACCGCTGGCTAGCAATAAGTTTATCTTTTGTCCATAGTTATGTAAGATATTTTTGTATGTTCATGACACTTTTTTGTTCAGCAATAAAGAGTATTATTTACTTACTTAACCGCATCGTAATGAATCCTATGCACTTACCCACTCTGCCATTGGATCTCTTTTAATCTATAGAGAGGAAAAATTTCATTGTTTTTTGCATGGAATTGGTTCCGAAACCACTGGATCGATTTTAAAACTTGTTTCATCTAGGGAAAGCTACATCATACTCGGGTGACAGGTTATAATTTTCGCGGTAGGTTATATTATATAGTAAGACAATTTATTAGCGGTACGCTTGTGGGATACAGGCAGGGTGAAGGCAACACTGATTGGTGATGATGGAAACTATTTTCTTGTTCTCTATACTGCAAAGTCCAAGCACTTTAAGAGCTCGGGCATATTTCTTTATCAAAGGAAGATCCAGATTCATACCATATTGAACGTGTGTTACGATCAACACTTAAACGTGTAAATTTTTTCTCAGGAGTTTTCTGATATCAAACGCTTGCTCTATGAGTTCTCTGAGATT